TACTCCTAACTGTGTAATGAAATTATCCTAAGTGTGTCTATCTATGACTCTGGTTAACTCATTTACGAAGAAAATTTACCAATTTGTAGCTTTTTGTAAAATTATAGATGAAGTAATAGAAAGAGCATCGAAACACGAAGCTATCTGATTTGTACGAGAGGGGAAGGTGTATGTATACGATTTGACTCTGACAGATTCTCAACAGAAAACTATGATACAAACATCTGTTTATGCGTAAGCAAATGATAAGAACAAATACATTTTACGATTCATCTTTATCCGTATAAGTATATATACATTGTTCAAAGAGCCTCTACTAACATTGTACTTATAATTAATAACCACATTAATTCTTATTAACATGAAAAGGAAATTTGTCTTGACTTTCACATTTAGAAACAAGCTTATGTCCATGTAGCTGACGGTATTTTAGTCAACAAGAACAGATTATCTAGTGTGTTTATCTATTATACAAATACGAGAAGTTTGTCAAACAATCAATATTCAACAATAATGTTTACTTTTGTCGGAATTTTATTATAAGCTTAGTTACCCCGATTTATTGCGACATAAACTTTCTACAACATTCTTGTTGCAATAATTGAATTTAAGTAAAACAGTTACTTTATTATATCAATGTTTAACAACAGATAATTCACTAGCAATTCAAACATTTCACAGAAATATATAAACAGAACAATATTGATTTTGTATATATTAGATCCACACAATGAATATAATATTATATACAAAGGTTTATTATTAGTAATTTGGCACTATGTGTTATAATAACAACACCAATATTGCATGATGACTTAAAATAGACACTAAATTTACAAGCAATATAAAATTTATTGTAGCACATTATTTCAGTATTTGATATCAATTATACTCGTACTTGAGTCTATTTACGTTGTAGCACATTATTTCAGCATTTGATATCAATTATACTTGAGTCTATTTACATAGAAGCATATTATTTAATTAATGATAACAATTGTATTTGAGTCTATTTACATTGTAGCGCATTATTTCAACATTTGATATCAATTGTACTTCAGTCTATTCAAATTGTAGCACATTATTTCAGCATTTGATATCAATTATACTTCAGTCTATTTACGTTGTAGCACATTATTTCAGCATTTGATATCAATTATACTTGAGTCTATTTACGTTGTAGCACATTATTTCAGTATTTGATATCAATTATACTTGAGTCTATTTACGTTGTAGCACATTATTTCAGTATTTGATATCAATTATACTTGAGTCTATTTACGTTGTAGCACATTATTTCAGCATTTGATATCAATTATACTTGAGTCTATTTACATAGAAGCATATTATTTAAGTAATTGATAACAATTGTATTTGAGTCTATTTACATTGTAGCGCATTATTTCAACATTTGATATCAATTATACTTGAGTCTATTTACATTGTAGCACTTAATATCACTTTATATATGATACTGTTTATAACGATATTTTTGTTTGTATGATGTCATTATATATAATAACACATTGTATAGATATCTATGTTGATATCATTATAGAATATCAATTATAAGATATCTGTTTAGTTACACACCATTAACGCTGTCCAAACTATCAGCGTAACTGTATTTTCTCGGCATTTCTCCTAGATTATAATTCATCTTTCTCGATGACAATGGTGTATCGGATGTGACAATACTGTCCTCATTAACCCCAGGTAACCAAGAGAACATCGACTTTAAGCTTCCGCGAAACTTTTCAGACATAAATCCATAAATAAACGGATTGATGAAATTGTTAATAAGAAATAAGCAATCCGCGATTTCACCGAAATGAGTTCGAAAATCACTAGGTGGATATACATCTCGTCCAGCAAGTTTTAGGCATTTATGTATAAGTCTTGGTAATGGAAGAACAGCCGCCATTACAATAACAACAACAACTATTTTTGACATGCGCTGTATCGACTTCCGGGTGGCGTCTGTTGTCGTGAAAGAAATAGACCCTTTGACCATACATATTTTCAAAATATGAAGGACGCACGTTATAACTAACGGCAGAAAGTACACCGATAACCATAAATACAGCAAAAATTCCTGGGATCGTCCGGCCAGAATAATTTTTGCATTTATAAGTGCTGTTAGACTTCCTGTTATTATCATTCCAATTATCCACACAACTATAGACGATATTATCACCTTTTTAATTGTTAGATAGGCATTAGCTCTTAACGGATAAGCCAACGTGATATACCTCAAAACAGCTAACAAAGCCACGTGTGTATTTGCTGAGAACCAGAAAATGGATTTCAGAATATAATATGGTGAACTTATTATAACTGGAGATGAGCACGTGACAGATAAGATAACTCTTTCAAATGATGTTGTCAGGTTTAGAGTAAGAAACAATAAATCAGCAATAGCTAAAGCAGCTATAGCAACGAATGTCGGGTCATGCAAGTTCCGGTCACGAATGACTCGTGTTATTACAAACATGTTGGCCACTATTCCAATGATAAACAATGTCTCAATGGCGCTGTATATGCATGCTGTGTCGCAGTAACCACATGAAAATTTTTGATAACTACCGTAACTTCTCCAGTTACCACCAGCACGTGAAGAATTTCCCACAGTGACGTCATCTTGTGTTAAATTTCCACGTGAAGAATTTCCCACAGTGACGTCATCTTGTGTTAAATTTCCACACGAAGAATTTAATACATCCATCGCGTTCTCATTCATTGCCAAAGTAACATTGTCCAAGAAACTGTTTGTTTCACACATTGTTTGTTAAATGTCTGTGGACAAGTATGTTAATACATAGATATATACTAGTTACACATGTAACAGTCACCCACTTATAACCCTTCCCTAATGCAGTATAGGTCCACTTAAGATTGTTTATACCAAACCTTATATAGACAAGGCATCTATGTTGTCTTCGTAAACAAACATTTTTAATCCAAAACAATTTTTAAACTTTTTTTTTAAAGCATCTCCGTCTTCCGACAACATTTATAAACAACAAACTAAACAACCTCCACCATTTTTTAACACCGTTATATCTCAATTAATGTAAATACTACATTAATTAACGAAATGTATATACTGTTCATTGACCGTATAAAACATTTGCATAAAAACATAAGAAAATAGGCCAGAAATATTCTCCTTGTTACTCTTTATAAAACACGCGTAACAAGTTCAACTACTGACAGATAAGAATGTGAGATCTATCTAACGCGCTGTAAAATCTTGTTCAATTTGCGAATTATTGTAACGATATAAATGTTTAAACAACAAAAAAGTTCCAGATAAGTTCAAACATCTGGAAGTGTAATAAAGCAGCATATTGCTGGTAAATTAACATAGATCTCTACTACTTGAAACTGAAGGTAATTGTTGCACTACAGCTGACGTTAACTCATCAAATGTGCAACAACATGTTGATAGTAGAAGATTCGTTTACTGCCTAAAATTTAATCATTTGTTTTATGTTAAGATTTCTCATCTTATCGCTACATGGATTGTTTATACCAAGCCTTATATAGACAAGTCATCTATGTTGTCTTCGTAAACAAACATTTTTAATCCAAAACAATTTTTAAACTTTTTTTCGAAAGCATCTCCGTTTTCCGACAACATTTATAAACAACAAACTAAACAACCTCCACCATTTTTAACACCGTTATATCTCAATTAATGTAAATACTACATTAATTAACGAATTGTATATACTGTTCATTGACCGTATAAAACATTTGCATAAAAACATAAGAAAATAGGCCAGAAATATTCTCCTTGTTACTCTTCATAAAACAGTCAAGAACTACTAAAAAAATTTTAAATCAAAGGTGTAAAATCGTTAAATTTTGCGAATTTTTGTAACATATAAATGTTTAACCCCCAAAAAGTTCCGATAAGTTCAAAAAATCGGAAAAGTGTAAAAAAAGAGAAAATTTGTGGTAAATTAACTAATTCTCTATTTTTAAAACTGAAGGTAATTGTTGCACTACAGCTGATGTTAACTCATCATATGTGCAGCAACATGTTGATAGTAGAAGATTCGTTTACTGCCTAGAATTAATCATAAGTTTTATGTTAAGATTGCTCATCTTATCGCTACATGATAATTAGCAGTAAAATTTGTAATCATTAAATAGTTGTTTGAATCTCGAGCCAACTGCAATCCTCAAATCCTCACTGCTAAAAATTTATTCTATTTTTGACCTGTAAATAGGGGCTGTTTTGTCCATTCGTGTTTTGCCCCGACCCCCCAAAGCGAAAAGTGAAAATTAAAATTTAAAATGGGGGGCAGGGAGCGAAAAAAGCAAATTTAAAGGGAAAACCGGGGGGAAAAAGAAAAAAACTTCGCCCGCGGGTGCGCGGAGCGATATTAAAGAAATAAAAGGCGGGAGCTCGGAGCGGAAACACGATAATTAGCGACCCGCCATTTAACTTATTTATTATCGACTTTTCGCCTGGCGGGGTTGCGGGACGAAAACATGATTATAAGCGAGTTCTCGTGGCGAAGTTTTAATTATTAAACTTAGCCCCGCGCCTCCGCAAATAAGCCTGTTTTCGTCCCGCGACACCACCGTTTTATTTCTTAAACTTCGCCCCGCACCCTTGCTAACTAGAGTGTTTTCGCTCCACGCCCCCGCCATTTTAAATTTTTGGCTTGGGGGGGTCCGAACAAAACACGAAGGCACAAATCAGAAAGTTTTAAGTTTTTAAGAAACACATTCAGGTCTTTCCCTAGGCCCAAACGAGTCTGTTTTGAAGTAAATTTTATTAAGAAAAAAAGGATAATTGTTTAAAAACTTTATCTTAAATACGTAAATATACCAAATTATTTTGGGGCAAAAATATTTATTTACAGGATCTTCAGTATTCTTTAATAAAAATAATTTTACAGAAACATGCAATATATTTTGATCAAATACCCCCCTTTTTTTTTTTTTGTATTTCGTTTTTTTTTTAACCTATAAAAGAAACCCTTCCCCCCAGTTTTTCACAGTGTTTCTCCCAATATATGTCAGTATTGGGATAAAACTATATCAATTAGTTTTTTTCCATTTTGTCAGTAAAAAAATCCCATAAAACCCATTATCGTACTCCATCTGCCAAAAAAAAATTCTTTTTCAAAAATTTATTGTACTCGAAGAATCAAAGTTTGTCAAATTTAAAAATTTTAGGTTTTGGAAAAAAATATTTTTAAAATGCATTTTTGTTTTCTATATGGCTTTTAAAAGCTGACAATATTTTTGAACTGCCCTAACCCTCGTCCAATATATTGGACAGCTGTTTTTCCGTCCAATAGAATACTATTGACTTCAAAAAATTAAAAATTTTTAACCAAAAATAACTTATTTTTAAAAAAAAAGTTTATTCCGTAATTTTTTATTATCTGAAAGGCCCCTTATTTTACTTTTTTTTCTTAGAAAATGAACGTTAAAACATCAGTTTTTTAAAAAACCATTTGATGTTAAAAGATAAAAACAAAAAAAAGCATAAAAATTGGCAACACTTCCATCCTTAATCTAATAGATCTAAGTTAGATATTTTTAAAGATAAAAAAGGCAAAAAAATATAATGTAAAAACTTAATAAAAACACTGTTGTAAACAAAAATTGTATAGTTATTTTTGGGAAAGTTATTTTGGGAAGTAAATATTGAAGCTTTATAATGCAGTTTTACAGGGCCCTTTTTTCTCGTTCTGTAATAAATTCAACAAATTTTCAGGCCGTTTTTGAATAACATTAAAATAAAACTTTAAAAGGGCCGTGTTCTTAAAAACTTTACATTTATAATTTTAAATGGCCGTGTTTTTTAAAATATCAGATAACTTTAACATGGGGTTTCTGAATAACTTTACATTATAATTTTAAAAATTCCGTTCTGTAATAAATTAAAAAACTTAACAGGGCGGTTTGTAAACTTTAAATTCAAAACTTTAAAGGCGTGTTCTGTAAAAAACTTTAAACTAATTTTAACATCCGTGTTCTGAAAAAAACTTTTTAGATTTTAAAAACATCCGTGTTCTTTTTAAAACATTAAGTACAAACTTTTTTAAACTGGCCCTTTTTCGTAATAACATTACGTACCAAAATTTAAAAAAGGGCCTTTTCTGTTAAATTAGAGTATAATTTTAAACATGCCGTTTTTTTAAAAACCATCTAAACAAATTAAAAACCCTTTTTTTGAAACATTAATTTTAATAACTGTAAGGGTCGTGTTTTGTAAAACTTTTTCAAAAAAACTTTTCCACTTTGAAAGTTTTTTCCCATTTTTACTAAAAAGTTGAGTAAGTTTTAAATTAATTTTATTTTAAAAATTTTTTTTACGCCCAATTGTTTCCAAATACTCTCCGGGCCATTCGAATTTAATTTTTCCCACATATAATTACGTGAGGTTATTTTTCAGATTTTTCCAAAAAAGCTAGTTTTCAAAGAAATTATATATATAAATTTTTTTATTTATTGTAAAATACTGACTATAAAAAATTCTTTTTGATACTTTATAGAAATATAAAATCATATCTAGCCACGATAATTATGTTTAAAAACATTTCGAAAAATGTTTAAAAAAAATATTTAAAATTTTTGTAAAACAAATTTATTTTTTTTTTTTTCTTTCGTTACACTTTATAGAAACAATAAAAAATTAAGGTAAGAATAATTTGCCAAAGAAATTTTTATGATCTTAAATCACATAAAAAAAATCTTAATATGTAAATTTCATAAAAAAATAATTCTATAAAAAATAAATAACACTGGCCTTAACAAATATTTTCAGAGAACTTTCCTTTTGGTTTTTAAGTAGAAAAATTAAAACAATAAAACACGGAAAATAAAAAGATGATCCAATTTCCCGTAAAAAAAAAAAAACCCCTTCTCCCCCATCTAAATTTTAAATACAAGAAGTTAAAAAATCATTTTGAATGAACGGAAACAAACCATTTAAGTAGTCATACTTGAGAATTTGCGATAAAAAACCCAGATTTATTAATCATAAATGTATAACCTGTTGACGATTATACATATGTATTTGCGACTATAAAATGAAAAAATTATAAAATCTAAATTAAGGAAGGGAGCAAGTGAGTAAAATAAACAGTCTAAGCCCTGAGTTTTTAGGGTTTCAAATCCTAAATAAAAATTAATAAGTAATAGTCAAAACATCATCTCATATCATGTTCATCATAAATTTATCAAATTCATCATCATCATCGTTTATCAATGTTTTTTCACATCAACATCTCACATTATTCATTTTATCATCAGTTCATTTAAAACATCAAATCCTATCATTATCATCATGTTTTTATTTTATCAATTTCATCATCATCATGTTCCATCATCAGTTCTTATCATTAAAAATCTCATCATCATTTCCATTTCTCATCATGTTTACATCATCATCATGTCATCACAAAAAATTTTTTAAATTTCATTTCAATTTAATGTCATATCATTTCATCAGTTTATCATAATGTTCATCATCATACCATGTTCTTTTCCCTCATCAAAGTTCCCTCATCATCATATCATCATCATCATCATCATTTTTCATTATCATCATTTCTCATCATCATCAAAAGTCATCACAATTTTATCATGTTACATATTTCTATCATATCTTTTTCATCATCATATGTTCATATCATATGTTCATATCCACCCCAAATTTTTATTCATCATCATCAATTTTTCTCACATTTTATTAACATCATGTTTATCATTTCATCTTTTAATTAAAAGTCAAATCATCATCATGTTCAT